TCCCTTGCCCTGCGTGAAATCGCTTTTCTTCTCCGAGTCTCCATGTTGGCACTGGAGAATGGAGCTGAACATGATGACTGCTTCATGGTGATAGAAGACACTGGGACAGGCCTGTGTGCCCATGTGCTCATAGCCGTTATGCATTCTGTATGAATGGGGAGAAGCTGACTTTCTTCCCGTCAGGGCTGGGGATGAAAGCAACCTCCTGTGCAGGCTGAACACTCCAGCTGCCGGAGCTCCACCCTAGCCCGTGGCCCTCCACCCTCAGCCCTTTCTCCCTCTCTGCCCCTCCCTCTCCTCCCCCTCCTTCTTTCTGGTGCAGAGATTCAAACCCAGTGCCTCACTCATGTATGCTACTCACACACACACAATCTCTCTCACACACACACACACCGACAAAGCCAGTCTTGGTGAACGCTCTGTGGTGGAGAACTTTCCAAGTTCACTCTCGTGTGCGACGCTGGGCGGGCTGGTGAGTTGGACATTATCATTATCACCTTTGCACTCCCGGTGACCCCTGCTTATTCTCCTACTCTCCTCTACTCAGTGTGTTCTCTCACCAGCATCTATTGTGACCCAGCGTTCTCCACCGACACTCACCGCCTGGCAGGCTGGGGTCACCACCAGGGAGGCGAAAGGCATAGTGGACATAGGCAGCCAGCAGTGGGCAGTGACCACGGGAATCTTGGACAGCCTCCAGGTTCCGGTGCACAAGGCTGGCGACATGAGCCATGGCTTCAAAGGCTCCTCGGCCCAGGTTCACTGTCGGACAGAACAAAGGTCACGCCCCGCAGCCCACAGCCTCTCGGGTCCCCATTCACCTCCCAGAGGCGGGAAGGGAAGAGGTGGAGGGGCTCATCTGACCACTGGAATCTGAAAGGCCCAGCACCTGGATGCGGTGCTCTGGGGTCACTCTTCATACGGGGAAACTGAGGCCACAGCAACAATGAACTATAGGAAGAAACTCGGGGGAAAGAGACCACAGTGGCTCACCCATCTGGCCACAAATGATCGGTGGACGCACGATCAGGCGGACAAGCTTGTCTAGAACATGGTGGGAAAAGGCCACCAGGGGCTCTGGGCTGGCAAGACGCAGCGCTGCCAGGCTGGCCCGCAGCTCCTGCTCCACAGTGCCCTCGCTCAGCACCGTCTCCTTGAGCCGGAACGGGAAGGTCCCTTCTTCCAGAACATGTACCAGGGTGAAGAACTTATCCAAGTGGGGGTCCTAAGCAGAGGGGAAGGCACCCAGTGAGCAGAGAGCCGGGCGCAGAATCAGGCACCCCTCCCTGAGTCAGTAGTCTGGGACAGATCGACTAAAGTCATGTCCAGTGGCTGGAGGCCAGACCTTTCCCAGCTAGCTGCAAGTAAGTCTTGCTCAATCCCAGGGTGAGCAGGAGGGAAACAGGCCGGCATCCTGGGTTCCCATCCCACCCCGTACCTGGGGGTGCACGGACGACACAGCTGTAAGCTCCACACTGAATACACCCTTATGGCCATCCACCCAGCGCATGCCCGGCAGCGCCACCTGTGGGAGGGAGAGGTGGCGTGACCCTCCCCCACGCATCAGGCCACCAGGCCAGGCTGTGGCCCTAGCCATTGCGACACCATGACCGGAGAGTAGCCCAGCCTGCGGGAGCAGCAGGGTACCCGTCCGTCTCCAAGTCCATTCCCAGTGGATGAGGGGAGAGCCCTGGCAGGAGGCTGGAAACGCACAGAAAATGGACAGATGTTCAGAGAGTAGGCATTAACTAGAAAGAGCAGCTGGGTGGCAATGAGATTGAAAGAGGTTTTGTTCCCTGGGACTTGTTCATCTGGAGGGTAAGGACATGGTGGCAGTGCTGTAGTGGGGTAGAGGGGGGACAAAAATGACAGCAGGAGAGCGAGGTACGGAAGCCCACACCTGTCCCCCCAACACTTGAGAGACAGAGGCAAAGGTATCCTTGACTACGCAGAATTCCAGGTCTGCCTGGGCTATATGTGATCTTGTCTAAAAAGACAGAAGATAAAAAAAAAAAAAAAAAACAATCCCCAGAGCAGACAAGATATTGCAGTGGGTAACATTTACCGCAGAGTCTAAAGACCCAAGTCCAAGCCCTGGGTCCTGCACGGAAGGCAGAACGTTCTCACGAAATTGTTCTCTGACTTTCACACACTTGTCATGGCATACGAGCCCCCACCTCAAAATAACAAATAAGAATTAAAAAAAAAAATCTCAAGGTTAAAAAAAAAAAGAAAGAAAGAAAGAAAAGAAACACTCAAGCTGTTAACGGAACGGAGGGCCTGAGGGACCTGTGGGAGAACAGAGAGAGGAGAGGGCACACGTGGGGTGCAGCTGCCCACAGAGACATTCTTATTGGGGTGGCAGGAGACACAGGGGACCCTCGGATGCCCACTGAGGGCACAGGGCTCTCGGGGGCATTGGAGGGCAGCAAGCAGGAGGCTATAGAGGACTTCGGGGCAGTAAAGGCGGCTGTGTCGAGGCCCAGGCACGTACATCAGGGGTCAGCACTGAGTAGCTGGGCGGAGGCTGGTCCACAGACACGGGCAGGCAGAAGGGACCAGTCCTCAGGCGGCCATGTTGGAGTAAAGGGATCCACTGGGGAGAAGAATGGATGAGGGTCAGGGGTGACTGGGGGACCTTGAGCGGGAGGTGGGGGGCAGGGGAAGAAACTGTGGGGAAACAGTGGCTCACAGTGAAGCCCACAGGTGTCTCCAGGGCTGTTCCTGGCCGGGGCTGGCAGCTGACGTGGTAGAAGGTGAAAAAGAGGTGATGGTTCTCGGTCACGCAGGCAGGAAGTCGTAGCTTAAATTCCTCGTAGAATTCAGGAGACCTAGTAAGACAGGGCCTCAGCTTACCTCATTTGCATGCTGAAACCCAAGCTTCTGCACCTCCTGCCTCATGCAAACCCCTGCACTTGGCTACCCTGAGCCCCTCGGAGTCTCCCAGGGTCGGCCCCACATACTTGTTATGGTAGACCACCGGTGTGAAGGCCTCTCGGGCGAATTCGCTGCAGCTTGATTTCCCAAAGATGACCTGCAGGAGCAGGGGTGTGAGGGACCCACTGGAGACAACCTAGGCCTGCTCCGTCCCCTTCCCTCCAGGGCAGGGCCACCACGCTGACCGGCAAGGCCTGGCTCTGGTCTTCACCCGCCATGTACTGGATCCGCACGGCCAGGTTGCGCACGGAGCCCTGGCGGCTGCTGAAATTGAGGCTGTGTGGGTACACGAAGAGCAGGTTCCTGGAAAGGGAGGTTTTCAGAGTGGAGGGCCCTTGAGAGGGCCGGGGACACAGTTAGAACAGGGTGGGCTGTGACCCCAGGCATCACAGAGGCTCGAGGCTGGGTGAGACCTCGGGACGTGCACCTCTAGGTGCGGGGACACAGGGCCAGGCATAGAATCAATTCTAACTCAAGCTCACCCTGGTCTACAGAGCTCTAGGTCAGCCAAAGCCGCACAGGGAGGCCTTGTCTCAGAAAATAAAACAGAAACCAAACAACAAAGGTTTGAGAGCGGCTCTCAGGGAGCAGATTTGAGTTTGCTGTTTGGCGGAGGATGACATTTAGTCAGAGGAGACTGACTTCCGTCTCCACTCCAGAGTGCTGGGGCGACAGGCATGTGCCAATGTGCCTGGCTCATCAGGGGGACCTGATGCCTCTGGCCTCTTTGGACACCTGTGCTCACACCCTGCCCCCAAACACACAGAATTAAAACAATAAAACGAACCTTTTAAGAAGGTGGAGCAGGTAGCCAGGTGGCATGGCTGGACCCCCACACCCCACTACCACCTTTGTTGGTCTATAGAAGTTATGTTCCATCTCTCTACAGACAGAGTCAGAACCTGGGCTGGAGTCCTGGTCCCGCCTCCTTTCCCCAACTCTAACTGCACAAACCCCGACCCCCATCGGCCTCTGTTGCTCTATCCATATGATGGGGGCACCTGGCCTGCCCATTCAGCCTTTGTAACACAGAACCAACCACCAGTAACCTCATCGCACAGCACCCTCAGAGTGTAGGCTCCATTCCAGGCACTCAACATGAAGGACTAACTCCACGGCCATTTTGGGGGGTGCTAGGGATGGAATGCCGAGCCTGGCGCATGCCTGGCGAGCCTTCCACCTCAGAGCTTTACCTCAGCTCTCATTTTCTTGAAATAAGACAGAGTCTAGTTCTGTAGCCTAGGCTGGCCTTGAACCCAAGTTCCTCCTGCCTTAGCCTCCCGGGTGCTGGGACGGACGTGAGCCACCACACCTGACTGACTTACTAACTTTCCACTTGCAAACAAAGCCATGGCTGTTCTTTTGGCGTGAGTGCCCAGCAAATGCTCATTACTACACGTGGGGCCCCTAGGTAGGGAAAGCGAGGTGCAGCAGTGGGCTTGCGTCTTCTAGGAAGTTAAATCGAAGTTAGCACGGATCATGGACCGGGCCAGGAGTCAGGCTCCATGACCCCAGGGTGGGGGGGCTGTCACTGCACTCTTCCTCACCTCCCCTGCTACCAGCCGCACCCAGTGACCCCTGCATGGGCGGCTTGCAGGAAGGAGACAAGGAGAACAGATGACGCACAGTGCCTGGAGCCCATGAAAATGGCGACCACAAGACCCCGGCCTGCTCCAGCGGCCCCTCTGGGCGACCCAGCAACACTGGCGCTGCTGCTCCGGGTGTGTGGAGAGCCATGGCTCACGGGGGCCGCGCCTGCACTTCGATGGGCAGCTGAGGCTCCTGGCAGCGCTCCGGTCATAAAGACCCCGGCGCTGAGATCTCGGGCCTGAGCTCTCCCACGGGCCCCCACCCCCACCCACCACAGCTGGCCCTGAGTTCCAGCAGCGTGGCATCAGCGTGGCCTGCTTAGCCATCGGCCTGATGCAATGGCTGTGCCCCCGCCAGGTCTTGCACAGGTCTTGTGCAACAGTGGCTGGCTAACCATTGACCAGGGGGGTTGGTGGCAGTCTGTGGAAATAAAAGGCGGCCACAGTGGCACAGGAACCACAAACCCTGAGACCGTCAGCCATGGCTGCGCTCGCTGTCTGCCTCCTGTGCACCCTGGCAATAATGGCGCGCTCTGCCCCGGTGGCCTCTCTGGGTGGTCCAGAGCCAGCTCAATATGAAGAGCTGACCCTGCTCTTTCACGGGGCCCTGCAGCTCGGCCAGGCCCTCAACAGCGTATACAGAGCCACAGAGGCTCGCCTGACAGAAGCGGGGCACAGCCTGGGCCTCTTTGACCGAGCACTGGGACTTCTGGGCACAGAGGTCAGCCAGGGCCGGGATGCGACACAGGAGCTTCGCAACAGCTTGTCAGAGATTCAGGTGGGCCCTGTCGCTGGGGTGTTGTTGGGTGGGTGAGAGGCTGAGGAAAAGCTAGGTCCAGGGTGTCCCACTGTCCTGGTGAGCTCAGGATGGAGGAAAAGTGAGAAGGGGCTGTGTGAGCAAAGCTGAACTAGGTGACTTCGCTGATGCCATGCCATGTGTTGAGCAGGTGGAAGAGGACGCTTTACAGCTTCGCTCAGAAGCCACAGCCCGATCGCTGCGGGAGGTGGCCCAGGCCCAGCAGGCCCTGCGGGACACAGTACGGAGACTACAAGTCCAGCTGAGAGGCGCCTGGCTCGGCAAAGCCCACCAAGAATTTGAGACCTTAAAGGTAAGGGGCTCCCGGGTCTGAGGGGGGTACAGCTCTGCTCCCCAGCCAGAAGCCACCACTGAACCCTGAGCTAAAGGACATGAGCCAGTTGCATGTGGGGTTCCAGCCTCCATGACCTTCCGGGCCTCAGTTTTCCCATTTGCTAGCAAGGGCAGGAACCAGGCACGGCGGTGATCACCTGTGATCCTGGAACTCCAGAGGCAGGGCAGGAAGAGAAGCTGAGTGCCAGCCTTCGCTGCACAGCCAGAGGCCAGCCTGAGCTACATGGTGACGCTCTGTCTCAAAAAGAATGACAGAAGGATAACTGGGTGTGGCGGCATTCCCAGCACTTTGGAATACAGGCCAGGGGGTTAGGAGTCCAAGGTGATCTCTAGATAGACATGTCAGTTAAGCTTGGGCTACATGAGACTCTGTCTTAAAATGAATGAATGAGTGAATGAGATCCCCATCATGGGACCAAAAGGAAAAGGCACTTGCTGCCAAGCCCAATGGCTTGAGTTCGATCCCCAGGACCCACACGGTGGAAGGAAAGAACCCACTCCCAACAGTTGTCCTTTGATTTCCACATTTGCACGACGGTATGTGCACACACTAGATAAAATAAATTTTAAAATAAAATAAGAGCAGTGACAGTCATTTCGGGGCAAAGCCGGAGCCTCAGAGTGCAGGGGGAATGGACACAGTAAGTGCTCAATAAGTGCTTGTTACCGTGGTATCTGGCGCCATGTATTGAGAACCCAAGCAGTACTGTTTGATGTGCATTTACAGACAATGCAGAGCCAGTCCTATTTTAGATACACCTTACAAATGGGGAAACTGAGGCCAGAGGGTCTTGGACACTCGCTAGGTCACGTGGATTTTAACAGAGAATCATGCAGCGGTCAGGAGACGGGAAGTGACCCAGACACCAAAGCTAAGGTCTCTGCTTCCTCACAGGATAGAGCCGATAAGCAGAGCCACCTCCTATGGGCTCTCACCGGCCACGTGCAGCGGCAGCAGCGGGAGATGGCGGAGCAGCAGAAGTGGCTGCGACAGATCCAGGAGAGGTGAGTGTGGTGGAGGCCTACATCTGGGGCAACAGGGGGGTGTTGCCTAGGTCCAGTGAAGGGCATCTGGACCCCACACTGGCCTTGACTGAGCTCTGTCTCCCTCTCTAGGCTCCACACGGCAGCCCTTCCAGCCTGAGGCTGACCTGGGTGTCACTGAGGACCGGTCACCTGGAAAGGAACAGTGAGCGCGCTCCCTGAAGGCCCTGAGCAGGGTGGACAGAGCTGGCTGCCCCTCGGCTGGGCGTGGCTAGTGCTCCCTGCTTCCTGACAGAGCAGAGACAGAAGCAAGCAGGCCGGATGGAAGACAGAAGACAGAGCCCCGTGGAGGGGGGCTGGAGAAGGGCACGAACCCCTCTATGTCCCCCCCAATAAAACAGAATGGAAGCAATTGGTGGAGTGTCTATGCCTGTGTCTGGGCAGTGGCTCCATCGACACAGCCCAGCACGCACGGCCCCGGGCCAACTGCAGAGCCACAGCCACGCGATGGAGAGGCACACACTTGCCATCTCAGTGTTGGGAGGGTAGAGGCAGGAGGATCCGCTCGTGGAGGCGGAGACAGGTGGACCCTAGCCAGCCTTGGCAGTTGCAGGCTGGGAGAAGACTCTGGTTAAAAGCACACACGACTCTTGCAGAGGACCCATAGCCAATTCCCATCACCCATGGCTCACGCCACCGGCAACTCCAGCTCCTGGGGCTCCAAAGCCTTTGTCTCTTCACACCTCACACCAGTGCACGTTCCCAACAGACAGGAGTGCGACACAAACGTCGGTGCCCGCTCACTCTCTCTCCCTTTCTCTCTCTCACACACACACAAAATTAAAAATAAAAACCAGGCGTGGGAGTGCACATCTTTAGTCCCAGAACCTGGGGGGCAGAGATAATGAGTCCAGGGCCAGCCTGGTCTACAAAGTGAGTTTCAGGCCAGCCAAGGCTTATGCCCTGTCTCAACACAGAATAAGAGTAACACTAACTGTTAAAAAAAAAAAAAAAAAAAAAGGTGGGGTTCCAGAGATGATTCAGAGGGTAAAGGGGTCACCGCAGGCAAGCTTGGCAACACGAGCTCCGCTCTCAAAACCCACACGGTGGAGAAGAACGGATGCTTTTCTGCAAGTTGTCCCGACCCCACACTTGAGCTGTGTGCCGCACCTACCCCCGAATAAAATTAATAAATATGATCAAAAGACTTTTAAAACCGGTGGACAGCGCCTGAGGAGCAGCGCCCATGGCTGCACTTGTGCACACTTGAGCACCCCTAAGAGCGCCCTACAAAGGAACACACACGCGTGCGCACACAGCCGTAAACTGTACCTGTAGCAGGTATGTGGGGCGTAGACCTCGCGGGCGGGGAACTCCAGGATCTCCTTGGTGGGCCGCCCCCTGGGGTCTGGGTAGGGCTTGACGTGCAGTAACTCGGGGGACAGGCAGAAGTGGAGGTTCTCGGGAGCCGGGGAGATGTCGATCTTGAGCTGGGCTGGGGAGGAGGGACTGGTTTTCACCGCCTCGGCCTCCCAGCTGCAGCTGGGCTCTGCCTGTCCCCTGATGTCCTCTCCCATCGGGAGCTAACGCCCACGAGCTGCCCTGCTCCACGCCCGGGGGTTGGGTGCCCAGTTCCCGTTATCCTCGGCGTGGTCTGCGGAAGCTCTGCTCTACAGGGTGGGCCACGCACCAGTCACAGGCCGCAGACGCCTCAGCAGGGACGATGGTCGCCGCATGTCCGCCAGAAACTTGAAAAGGTCCTCATCACTGAGCCGTTCTGCCTCCTGCCAGATACAGGTTCCCCAAGGCCGGGGCTGAAAGCCCTTCCAGATGGACGGGTCCCCAGGGGGAAAATCCCTGCGTTCCCTTCCTCCCAGGCCCCGTGTCCTATCCAAGGTCACCTGTTTAAAAAAGTTGGTGACCGTTAGCGTGGCCGGCCGAAAGCTGGAGAAGCTGCAGGCGTCGTCCCCACTGCAGCCTCGATCCTGGGGCCCCCGGCGGCGGCGCTCCGCCCAAGTAGGCCGGCGTTCTAGGAGACAAAGGTGGCAGAGGGGGCAGAAATTAGGGGGTGATGGTGGCAGAGGGGGAGGGAATTAGAGGAGGCTGGTGATTAGACGGCTGCAGTGCCGCGGTCAGCCAGCAGGCGGCGCTCGTCCTCACCGCCCTCCGAGTCGGAATCGCGGTCCTGCGGCGCGACGCTGCTCACGATGTTGGCCAGGTGCACGGCCGTCCAGGCGAAGGGCATGCGGTAGCGGCCCAGCCTGGTGCAGAACTGCTCGGCCGCCAGGCGCAGCCGCTCCAGCTTCTCTTTGTTCTGTGGGGAGACGCCCCCGGCCCCCGGCTCAGCGTCCCTCCCCTGTGCCTGGACCTGCCCTCCCACCCTGGGCGGCTCGCCCCCTCTTACCTTCACCGCGTCGGCCTCCTTCATCACCATGTAGGGCTCGCAGCACTCGCTGATGTCCCCCTGCTGAAGCACCTTTTCCAGCTGCAGGGCAGAAGGGCCCAGCGAGGGGCTCCTTAGCCCCCTCTCGGCCGTCTGACCCTCCTCGACACAGACCCACAGGCACTTCATTCAAGACTAAGGATGAACTCAGGACTCCCGCTTCTCTAGGACAAACTGACAGCTGCCATGGCTCCCGCGGTCCTCAGGATTGACTCCCAGCATTCTGACAGCAACTCCACTGTCTCAGCCCTTACCTCCAGCCCACCTTAAGCTGCTAACTCTCTCTCCCTCTCTGATATAGGATTTTACTATGTAGCCTGGCTGTCCTGGAATTCTCTTTGTAGACCAGACTGGCCTTGAACTCACAGAGAGCCACCTGCCTCGCCCCCTCAATGTTGAGACTAGCGCTGTGCACCACCATGCCCAGCTTCTTCTCTTTCTTTCACGGAATTACTCTCGTTCTTAGTTATCTCTATGAGTGCGAGGGCAGTGCCTGTGGTGGCCAGAAGAGGGCACTGGATCCCACCCCAACAAAGGTCTAGGGCATGAACAGTGGGATCTCTCAACTGCTAAGGCATCTTTCCAGCCCCTCCCTTCCTCCCTTCTTGTTTTGAGACAGGTTCCCACTGTGAAGATCAGGCTGGACTCAAACTCACTAAGATGGGCTTAGTGAGACTTCCCAAGTCCCACCACTGCCTGGCCTGGCCTCAGTTTCCGTACTGAGGATGGAAACCAGGGCCTTCCAAATGCTGGCTGAGCACTGTACTACTGAGCCAGGCAACCAGGCCCTCACTGGAGGATTCTAGGAAGAGGCTCCGCTGCTGAGCCATGCCCCCTTCCGTTTTCTGGGCTGCACGCGGACTTGCAATCCTCCTGTGCTCTGGTTGGCTTTATGTCAATCTGACACCAGCCAGGGTTATCTGGGCAGAGGGAACTTCAGTGGAGGACACGCCTCCCCTCAGACTGGCCTGTAAGCCAGGCTGTGAGGCTTCTTCTTGAGTGATGATTGATGGTGGTCCTGGCTGCCTAAGAAAGCAGGTGGGGCTGGAGCTGTTAGGAGCACTGGTTGCTCTTCCAGAGGGCTCGGGTTCAATTCCCAGCACCCACATGGCAGCTCACAACTCTCTGTAACTCCTGTCCAAGGGGATCCACACCCTCCCACAGAAACACATGCAGTCAAAAGACAGCTGTATATAAAAATTAATTAAAAAAAAAAAAAAAGCAGGCTACATATCATAAAAAGCAAGCAGATAAGCAGCACTCCTCCATGGCCTCCGCTTCAAGCTTTGATTCCCGGTTCCTGCCCTGGCTTCCCTTCATGATGGAGTGTGACCTGAGAGGTATAAGCTGAAGTAAATTCTTTCCCTCCGAGTTGCTGCTTGGCCATGCTGCTGTTTGTCACAGCAGCAGAAGTCTGCTTCAGCCTCTGAGCTGTCACAGGCATAGGACACGGCACATGGTATGTTTTCATCAGTCTGCCCTGAAATCACAACCCTGAACCACAGGACCAGGACTCCAGTCCTCAACATCTCAGGAGTCGTGGGACCCTAGGCAAGGCACATGTTCTGTGCCTCAGTTTCCCCACTTATAACATGATGACCATTATAACCTTCACCTTGAAGAGCTGGACCCTAAGCAGGCTGTACCTAAGTCGATTCATTGTTAAACTGACATAACCATGACTGAAGAAATCTCACAATGCATTACTTGCCTGCCCCATCCATAGAGGGAGACTCAGTTGTTCTGTTTGTTTTAAGACAAAGTTTCTATGAGCGGCCTCAGCTGCCTCAGACCCACGATCCCCCTGCCTCAGCCTCCAAGTGCTAGATCACAGTCCATCCCTCTGAACCTCTGGCTGGGTCACCATATTAAATCACCCCCTTGCAGGGCCCCAGTCAGCACCTTGACAACCAGGAAGATGTCGGGAGAGGGGTAGGTCACGGAGAAGATGGCAGAGCGTGCCAAGGTGGAGATGGCCGGGTGGGTGCCATGAGCCCGGAGCAGCCCCTTCACGGAGTCCGAGTTTAGGTCAAAGTAGAAGTTTTCTGAAATCTGGGGATGTGGGACGAAGCTAGCTGGGAGATAGCAATCCCCAGCCCCCCCCACCAAGGAGAAAGAGGGAGGGAGAAGGAAGGATGGCTGAGAAAGATGTAGGGAAGGAAGGAGTGAGGAGGAAGAGGGGAGAGGGAAGAAGGAGAGGGAGGAGGGAGTGAGGAGGAAGAGGAGAGAGGGGAGAAGGAGGAGAAGGAGGAGGGAGGGAGAAGGAGGCACCCACCTTCTTTTTCTCCCGTACATCATACAGGGCCAAGGTGCCAAAGATGGGCTCAATTTCAATCTCAAACCTGTGGGCAAGGGGGACCGTTCTGTGACAGCTATCAAACACTCTCTGCACGTCCTTCCTCTCCTTCCTTCCTTCTTCCTTTCTTCCTCCCCTTCCTTCCTTCCTTCCTTCCTTCCTTCCTTCCTTCCTTCCTTCTTTCCTTCCTTCCTCCCTTCCTTCCTTCCTTCCTTTTCTCCTTTTGGGACAGGATCTGATTCAGCCCAAGCTGGCTTCCAGCTCCCTATATACCCCAATTCTCCTGCCTCTGTTTCCCAAGTGCTAGATCGCATCTTGTCTCTGCGATGCTGTGGATGGAACCCAGGGCTCTGTGCACACATTTTACCTACTGAGCTACCCCCTGCTGTGGGTGGCATGAGACTTTCCACTCTTTTGGACAGCCCTGTGCCTATACTAACTTACCAGATCTGGCCCCTCCCCCGGGAAGTGAGCGTACGTGAGAAACTGAGGCACAGAACTGCAAGGGTACCCTGCTTGAGATCAGAACACTTGTGAAAACCAGGATTTGGCTCTGGCCTGCCCACGCTCCTGCTGAGACCCAGGGTGGAGGGGTGGAGCCTGGCTCCCAGTTGCCTGTCCAAGGCCTATCAGTATAAGGCCCCAGAAGCAGCCAGAAGAGCGTGGGAACTGA